CTGGGCTTTTGGTGCGCAATGGCAGTTGCTGATTTGCTGTTGCTTGTTTACTTTCCATTCCATTTAGGTGCCAGTGAAAATAGAGCGGGAATTATTCATTCCAACCTGCCGAGAGGAGGGGACGAGAACCAATTCCCATCAGTAACAAGGAAGGAGGCTTCTGTGCCCAGATGGCGAACTGCCATCCAGAACATCACCAGGCTTGCAGGGAGAGGAAACCCTTGAATGCACATGTGAACATTAGTTTATTATGGCCTGAGGCCACAATTCTACTTAATTAATAATCTTAAATGTACATAACTGGAAAAGCGAAACACGGATTATTTCAACAATGCAATTGTTTCAGGTGAGAGGAAAACGCAAATATATTAGTCTTAGGGATTCTGGGCTAATATTTTGGTTGAAATGGCTAATACATTTCAATAATGTAGGATGATAACATTAGCAGACCTAATGTTATTAGATCCACATCTAGCCATCAATTGGACCAATATTATGACTTCTTAGGTAGTTGTAGTTGTTGGTTAATACTATGCTAATTTCATATTGGGTGGTCTGCAACTGGGACCGCTGGGTCAAATTCAGATCTTGGAATGTCACTTGACTGGATTTATGTATGGAAGCAAATAAAGGTATCTAGGGTTTAGGCTTTCATTCAGTTGAGTCCTTTTACATAATCAGTGCCTATGGCAAAATAATCTGGAAATTCGGTATTTTGCAGGACAGAAGAATTAACCCGTAATCCCTGGTCCCTGCGTTGGACAGAGTTGGATTTTTCTTGCCAACCCTGTCCCTTTTGGTATGTTCTTGGCCAACAACCACTTTGCCTGCCTGTGTAATTCCAACTGTATAAACTACAACAAGCAAGGCCTGCAATGCTAGTTTTGTAGATACAGCATTGTGCAAATCAGATAAAATCTGGTTCCAATAATTGATTTGTGATTGGATTTGGACTTTGGCACTGATTTCTGCCCATATACATTAGTGTTTGAATTCCATTGGGACATCTTACAGTCAATGCAATATAATTCCTTTTTACAATCAAAGCTCAGCTATACATCAGATAGTATCATTGGTAGGCAGTTGATTACTAGCCAATATAACTGGGAAAGCCAATTTGGAAATCATCTACTTTTT